CCCCAAAACCCCAAAACCCCAAAACCCCTTGTTCCATAATTCTTTGAGTTTATGCTAATCTAAAATTAATCAATTATAAATTTAACCAAAATCATTCTGATGAACATCAGTGTCACCTCTTTTTAGAGCTAAGATTCAATTATGTCTAAAGCAATCAAGCAGCCACAAAGCAAGACCAACAAGAATATTCCTAAATAGAGCTCATTCACAAGTCTGAACTAAGTGCCTCAAGATGTTATGATCAACCTCACTTAATTTGAAAAAGATCTGCTTGAAAAGTTTTTCAAAGAGTTGAATTCAATAGCAAACCCTGCCAAACCTCTTAATGCATTTGCACTCTATCTCAAATCTGATTTATCTAATCTTAAAAGGATAACTCCTAACAAGGCTTTTTCCTACTATGAAAGAGTTGGCTAATCTAACTGGAAGAAAGAAGATGAGGCAATCAAGGCCATTTATGAGACCTAAGCTGAAACTCAATTCAAGGAGTATGTTGAGTGCTATCAAGTATATTCTGCTAACGCTGAAAATTTGAGAGAGAAGATCGATGAGATCATTAACAGAGCTGATATATCTTAAATTGTTAAGAAGAAGATTTCACCCTACAGAGTTTACAAGAAAGAAAGTGCTTCCGCCATCAAAGCAGAGTTTCCTAATATGAGAAGTCAGGAGAGACAGATGATAGTAAAGGAAAGATGGCGCTAACTTACAGACCAACAGAAGGTACTCTACGTGGTAAAGGCCAGACTCGAAGAAGAGAAACTAGCTTATACTAACATTTAGAACTTTTATAAGTCAAGGATTGAATACTGTAGATCACTTTAAGAGGCTTAAATCACATATCTGACCAATGTAGACGTTCAAGAATAGATCGTCCCCCTTTAGAGTGAATTTAGCAAGGTTATGAGTCTTAATGAAGAGATTTCTCAGACTGCTGTCAAGATCTCTCCCAAGGATAAGAGCACAACACCATCTATTAGCTCCAAAGAATGTTGTTCATCTCCTACCTAGAGTCAAATCAGTGACTCTGATTACTCTAAGGATTAGCATCTAACTACCTTAGAGGAGAGATAGAAAATCTTTGACTATGAGCAGACTAAGAGGATTGTGGATTCAACTCTGAGAATAATTGGATTAGATGATAATGATAATTGAAAATGCTATGATATGTGCAAACCAAGTAAACTAAGTTCTTGATCTTATCTGATTATTTAGCAAGAAAATATATATGAAAGCTCTAAGATTAAATTTGATTTCATTAAGTATTAAATTCAATAAATATTTATCTTGCGGGGTTTTGGGGTTTTGGGG